AATTATAATCAGTTATGGTTTACATTTAATGAATGATTGTTGGATCTACAGTTCTTTTTCAATAAGATAATTTGAAAAATGTCCTTTAGGACGTTAAGAGTATTCTAAAATCTAGTAATAATATGTCAAAATATTATTGAATGTCAAAAGCTTCCTTTAATAGTTAATTTTCGGTAAAAATTACCAATTTCGAGCAAAATATTGTTTACCATTCACGTAGGTTGACAGAAATTGATTTAATGCTTTTAATGGGGAGACATTTTTATTGTAAGTAATTAACCTTTTTTTTAATTTTTTCCTCCAATCAGTGGTGGCACACCCGTTTTATTTTAGGGAATATTTTATTTGTAAAAATAATAAAAGACGGTCTGTTTTGTTTTGCGAACTGTAGATTCAGTTCGGATAATATTAGTAGTAGACAAAAAAATAAAAAGAAAAATTATTGTAGTTTCATGTTGGTTTTTTATTATAAGCGGCCAGTGCTACCACTTCTACTAGTACTACTACTACTACTAGTGTTACAACTACTAATACTACTACATCCACTAAATCAGCAACATCAAACCCAACACCGATTCAACCGAAAGGTAGGTGGTATGGGTAGAAAAATATGTTGTACTGTGCCAAACCCACCTTACCTCTTAAATGTTTTTGCCTAGAGCATGTAATTAAAAAAAATGGAAAGCAAGATTCGGTGTAATTTTGCCCCTTTGTGTCTTATTTTTTTTGATCGTTATTATATTTCTCTTTTGAAGAGTGCGACTGATAAAGAGTATTGTATTTATTACTTTGTAAATGTTAAAGGCATGAGTTTTCGTTAAATAATGTGGTCACTAAGACTTATGTTTGAAAAAGCTTTGAGAGGATGCTATTTGCTTTTTTCTAGGTTCCGGCGACGATGTCCAGATGAAGGTGGTTAAGAATGTTATAGTACCGAACACTGCGACGCCCGGAAAATCGACACTGACGTCACTGTTGACTGCAAATAACGCGGCTGGTGTGAACAAATACGCAGGTCGGAGGATATTTATGACTAAAGGACCAGATGGTAGTACCAGAGTTATTGCGGGATCGCCTGGTATAATAACCAAAGGCGCCCAGGCCGTACAGCAGTCTCTTATTAAGGTTCAAACGACCGGAGGTCAGACGGTACAGCAGATACAAATTCAACAACCAGGTTAGAAATTTATGTTTTGAAATCAACTTAAAAAATTGTTACGGTTATAGAAATATGTAGTTTTTGTTAAAATTGGAATTTGGAATTACCTGCTGTTTGTTCCTGCAGTGACAACAGCCGCAACGCCCACCAAACAGTCCGACGTTCCTCAAAGGGTCCAGATCATGCGCACGCCCGACGGCCGTCTTACGGTTAAGGGTCTGATGCCTGGTCAGCAGCTGATCCAGATGCCTGATGGCAAGCTGCAGGTGCTCTGCACTACGCAAATTCAGCAACAGACACCGGCGTCGGGCGCGGGCACCGCATCTGCCACTACTATTTCCAGTGGCGTCGTTCAAAAGTTGATTCAACAGCCGTCGCCAACGACTGCCGTGGTACCAACAAAAACCGTCATTAAATCAGCTATTACGTCCGCAGGCAAGGTCATAGTGCAGCAACAGAAGAACGCGACGGTGATTGCCGGGGTTCAACAGACGCAAGCGCAACAACAACCATTGACACAAAGTCCAAACAAAACACAAGTTGTTATTAAACAGCAGACCCCCGTTTTGCAGAAAGTGAACACGCCACCAGGGACTGTTGTGGTCAGCGGAGGACAGCCTGTTATTCAGCAGCAGGTTGTTGTTAGTGGACAGCAAGTAGTTACCACCAGCGGAGGACAGCAGCAGGTTTGTGTTATAATATTTATGAAGTTTTGTACTATATTTACATCTTAAAAATTTGCCTATAGGTCGTGACTAATCAGTTCATAGTTCCAAACCAGCAAGTGGCTCAACAATTGGCTTCTGGTAAACTTCAAATTGCTACGATCAATGGTCAGCAAGTTCTGATTAGACCTACAGGAAACGGTCAGGCTCAGGTTGTTGCTCAGATAACGACCGGTACCATTACGCAAACCCAACAACAGGTAATGCAAACTCTTGTTTCATTCTTTTCACTATTTATATTACTTTGTTTATTTTCAGACTCCTCAACCTCAGACAACTGCGGCCATAACACCAGTGAAGCAACTCTTGCAACAACAACAGAGCATTCAGGATCAGCAGACTACTACATCAGCGGCAGTGGTAACTAATCAACAACAAACGTCGACAGCGACTAAGTCCATTTCTGTCGATAATTCAATCGATCCTGCAACGATGGAGCAGTTGCTCGCTGGTCAACCTCCTGGTACTGTGATTAAATGTGTTACTGCCCAGGTCATACAAACGCAACAAGGGCCACGGATTGTACTGCAAGGACTGCAAGGAGCAGACTTCACCCCGCAGCAATTGGCTGCCGTTCAGCAACAAGTTAAACAACAATTACTCAAAGGTAAATATTGTGTTAAGTTTTCTTTGAAATTTCCGTTTTTTAAATAGAACAAGTTGTTTTCGATGAACACTATAACAGTGTTTGCTTTTTTCTTGCAGCCCAGGCATCTACAGGTAAACAAGGTGTTCTTGGTCCCACAAAGATTTATCTGGCCGTCCAACCACCCGCTTCTTCTGATACGGCGTCGGAATCGCAGCCCCCACCCTTGGCTCCCGTACAACATGTCAACCAGATGAACCATCAGCAAATGGCGGCGTCTGCGACAACGACGCCAGTATCGGTGGTAACCAACATGGTTAAACAGCAGGCAATCAACAGTGCTGTGACGCAGGTATGCAATTTGTCTCCTGCTAAGGCTACTAGACCAAGAGTGGTCGTTGAACGGGTTTCAATTTAATTACCTGACATTATTTTCTATTTCAAGTGTTTATTGGTCTTCAGTTGCATTCTTTTTTTATTTTTAAATTTAAAACCGATCGTTTTAATTGCTAACTTGCACGTTCATGATTAGTATTTTTTTAATGATGTAGCTGTGATAATTTTAGGCATAGTTGAGTCTGATTTTAAAATTTTTGGAATACGTTAGCAAATTAAAAGTTAATTGCCAAAAAAATATTGAATACACAAACGAAAATACATAATAAGAAGCGAGCCAACAGTATTTAATTTTTTAAAATGTTTTGAAGCTTTTTGTGTATTTTATTGTTTTGCTGATTTTTGTCGTGGTTGTTTTTTTTGTATTTTAATTGGAGTCAGACTCAATTTTGTTTAGTTAATTGCCATTAATGTGTAGATGTTTATTTATGTGTTCAACCCTTTGTATTATTTGTGCAACTAATTTAAGTTAAATCTTTATAACTTGGTAACCTACACCGTGAAGGCCATTAATAATTAAGATATGCAGACAAAATTTTACGATTTCTTTTTTTTTGTAAAATTAATCAATTGTATAAACATTTGTTCCTCATCTTTGTGTGTTAGTTTTGTAATTTTTGATCTCACGTATTAAATAAAAAAATAATTATTCTGTGGCTTTTGGTTTGCTTTAATAATACGATGTTAGCTTTTTGCTATTAATTAACAAAATTTCTTGAGGTGCAAGAGATCTTAGTTTCGCTTGAAAATCAAACTTTCTTATCAATTAATGCCTAAAGCAGTTTTTCACTAACTTCTTAACAAAATGCATGAATGGGAAGAAATAGTGTGAACTGACGGTGAAATTGGGAATAATCTTTTTTTAATAGTTAATGAATTGGTAATCTAGGAAATTCATTATAAATAGCAATACATCAATTTCATGAAAAACATCTGAAGAAGCTGCAACAATTATCATGTTTAATAATTGCTTTTACTGATGATAATATCAAAAAATAGTAGTAATAAAAATAGATGCAATAAAAAAGCTAAAGGTGAGTAATTAAACTAAAATACTTTTCAGAATGATTTCACTTGTGTATGTTAAAAGAAAAAAAAAAGAAAATTAAAAACACTTTGGCAATTAAAAAAGGAAAAGGAGATTCTGCAGATGTTTGAAGAAAAGATAATTTTGGGGAGAGGGGGTCGAGGATATTGTTGATGTAGTTCCAATTTAATATTTATGGGGGCTCTTTTGTTACTAAGTGAGAGTGTCTTTACAGACGAGCGAGGCTTCCTCAGTTCGTGAAGTGCTAGTCAATGGTCAACAGTCTTCGGCTCTTCTACAAGCGATGAAGGTAAACATGGAGGCATCTCAGCAACAGCACACGGGTGTCATTCAGCAAACGACGAACGCCACAACCCTCGGAGGTAGTAACAGTGTGACGACAGGAATTAGCGGCGGAGGAAGCGGAGGGGGTAATAAGCAGTTCGTAGTCACTCCCGACTACATCCAACAAAGTATGTTGATCTATCATCCTTCAGTCATAGTGTATAATCCTAACTGTAGCTACCCATTGCAAAACGACTACATCAGGCGCGGTACTAACTGAGAGTTGATAAACGGTGTGTGCTAATAAATTAGATAATGATAAGACGTGCTAGCTCTCTTTCGTCTTTCCTTTTTTACTTTTAATTATGGCAAGGTAGCATTACTCTAAATTTATTTTGCAAACTGCTTTAGTAAGAGACGAAATAAAACATTAAAACCCAAAATTCCACATAAACATTGTGAAGTCTAAAACGCGAGACTGAATGAAACCTCTGATACCGAGGCGTGTTTTAGATTACTAAATGCTCCTAATGTGTGGAATTTTGGGGTTTAGTGTTAGTTTAGTTCCACAGAATTGCATTTGATTTTCCTGTAGTATCAAAAAAGTATCTCAACATAATTATACTTATGTGAAGTATTCAATGAGCTGAAACGTAGGGTTGGTTATGCTTAAAAGTAGCATGAGTTTAAAAAATATATAAACTGATTTAATCCAAATTAAAAGAAGCGCAATAAATTACACTCTTAATTTGTTATTATTTCCTTCCAAACAAGTAACGATTTTCAAGTATTAAACCAAATTTTGCTTGGCTTTGTATACCACTATTGTTTTTCTGGGGTTATTTTAAAAGTCTGATAATTAGTGTTAATTGAATTTTACAACGTGCTATCTTGCCCTGCAACTATTAAAATAAATTATACTGGACTGATTTGTTACACGTTGCAAATGTTTTTAAACGTGTGCAATGGACGTATTTTTATTTCGTCTGAATTTTAATCTGTGATATTTTTTGAATGTTTTTGTATTAATTTTTATTTTTGCATCAACCGCAGTATTATTATTCAGTATTTATTACGAAGAGAAAAAAAAGAAGTAATACGTAATTCAAAATTTATCAGAGGTGTGGTCTATTTTGAGTGATATTTTTTATGGTTGTCCATTATACACATTTCTATTCGTAATTTATTGATTTTGAATATGAAGACTGTCCAGCAACGTTATTATTGCTAGTGTAATATGGCTGTTTGGAAACATTTGCTACAAGCGAAACGATTCTAAAAGGAAAACCTGTCTGCATTTATAAACAGCTATAAGTGAAATTGTATGTAAATGTATTCCAAACCTAAGTAAATAAATTTGTTACTATGTCTGCTGCGTTTTTTTGAAGCCCCCTGACACATTTTCAAGTTTATTTTTAGTCGTTTTGCTTTGGGTCTTCCTTCTCACCACCTCTAGAATTTTTTGCGTTTTTTTCCTTTTTAACAATTCGTACTAGTCACTAATTCAATAATTTCACACTTCATGAAGTCATTTAATATTAGATTTTAACATTCTAATATTGTAACATACATAATTTAGTTTAAAATTGTATCTTATTTACCTAGATTTTTTTTTGTGTTAACTTATTTATTTTGCACGATGTGATCTTTACCTGCTAAAAAAATAGTATATTAAGAAAGTGCTTTTAATTCTAAACTTATTCTGTCTATGGCCCTTTATAACAAACTTTTGTTATCTCAACTTCGTCTTTTCTCGTTCTTGACTTGGCAGCAATCAAAACGGCGTTAAAACAAGAAAATCTAAACCCGGAAATAGAAGAGAAGCTGCTGCAACTACAACGATACCAAGAGACGAAGATGAAACAAGAACCTATTGAAACGATACCTGTAGTTCCTACCCGTCCTGTAATACAACCAACCGTCACCAATACTATACGTCTACCTTCACGTAAACGCCCGCCAAGTTTAAGAGACGACGACGCAGATTGGGTGATGGGTATGGAAACACCAAAACGTACTAGACCTATGAAGACGGTGCTGGAAATTAAAAAGGAAGCCTTACCGTGAGTATAGAAAATGATGAGTGAGGTAAATGGGCAATTTAATTGAATTGAATTGAATTGTTTTTTAGAATTGTACAAACTGATAGGACGTTGTCGCCTCGGGCAAGAGTTAAAATAAAAGATGGACAAGATGAGGAAAGGACGAAGATTAAAACAAAAGCAATGGTAGCTCTCTTTAGACACAAAGAAGCACTGAAAAAGGACATCTTAAGGAAACGAGCACTTCTTGAAAAAGAATTACAATATGAGATTCAAGTAAGGAACTCATAGATATCCACTAAAAGGATTGTTAAAAAATATTTTCTCGACTTACAGAAAGAAGTAGCAGAAGAATTGGCAGCACGAACGAAGCTGGAAAGGAGTAAACAAGATGAGGTATGAATGATTGATTTTGGAACCACAATTCAATGTTTTCTAATATTACTTTTTTAAACAAGGTGAGAACGGGTAGCAGCAAGAGGAAATCTACAGCTATTGCGCCACAGACCCCTGCTTATACGCCCGCGCCCCGATCTTCTGGTCGACCGAAGAAGAAGCAGCAAAACCAGCCGTCACCCCCATCAAATCAGCATTCCTTGCACAACAAACTAAAGAAGGAGAAACTGTATTGCATTTGCAGGACGCCATACGACGAGACAAAGTTCTATGTCGGTTGCGACTTATGTAACAATTGGTTTCATGGCGATTGTGTCGGTATCACTGAAGAGAGCAGCAAAACCATGACCGAATTCATTTGTAATGAATGCCAACAGGCAAGGGATAGTCAGATGCTTTATTGCCTTTGTAAGCAGCCTTACGATGAATCTCAGTAAGTAACAACTTAATCAACAAAAAGATAATGTGTGAAACATCAATTTTTCATTCAAGGTTTTACATTTGTTGTGACCGTTGCCAGAACTGGTTTCACGGTAGGTGTGTGGGCATTTTGCAGTCTGAAGCCGACTCTATTGACGAATATATTTGTCCGAATTGCCAGAAGAATTCGTCTGTTAATTTTGCTAATATGAAAGACCTCACTGAAAAGGATTTCGAAGGTCTTCGGAAACTTATCAGGCAGATACAGGTACGAATATGGTGACGTGACAACCATATACTAGTCTCGACTTAAATCATATTACTTGTTATTTTCAGACTCACAAGAGTGCCTGGCCGTTTATGGAACCAGTGGATCCAACAGAAGCCCCGGATTATTACAAAGTAATCAAGGAACCAATGGGTAAGTAGAATTCCACAAATAATATTAATGTTAAAAATGGGTAAAGTTTTTTCCTTTATTAAAAAGTTTCATTGTCAAAATAATCGAGATAACAGTGGGTTTCCAGTTTATTATTAAATTACCCGATTGAGTTTTTTAACGGAAACCATGGTTATAAACCTGGCTTTTTAAATTAATTTGAAATCTGTAGGCAACAGGAATAAAATTGTAACTTTATTTTGGTGTTTTATGAATTTGTTACAGATCTTCAGAAGATCGAGAACAAGATAAACGATCAGCGCTATGTCAAGTTGAGCGAGTTTATAGGCGATATGACGAAGATTTTTGACAACTGTAGATATTATAATCCACGGGAATCGCCGTTCTTTAAATGTGCCGAATCGCTTGAGGCGTATTTCGTTAACAAGATCAAATTTTTGCGGGAAAAACTGTCGGAAAACAGCAAGTCATGAACTAATGACGTGTTTAGGTTTTAAGTGGTTTTTATTAAGGTAATAGGAATTTTACAACCGCTAGTGTTTTAAGGTCCACACACATACAAAAAGAAATAAAAACACAGACAGGCAGGAAGAAAGATAACGTACACATAAGATAAAATGTGTAAAAAAATGTCGAGCCGTTAGCAACATGTTTCAATGGATCTCACACAGGATGAAATGATGAGTGCGCCGTGAGATCACACGGGTGCCCTCGCGTTTCGTTTTTGTTTGTACCTTTCCCCTTCATTTTTTAATTATTGTTCTTTTTTGTATTGTAAATGTTGGTGGTTTTCCTGAAAACGATTGATGGATTGATTGTGTAAATTTTACATTGTAAATAGGTCTTTCACACTCTGGATTGTATCGTAGCTTACGATGTGAATATTTATATGCCAGTGCATTTTCTTCTCGACTTTTTCGTAGCAGTTTACTATTATGTAGTATTCCTTTATTTTTTTTTTTCATTGGCGCCTTAAATAATTTATTACTATAGTCGGCAGACACTTATTTTAAACTGTACATTTTGTTAATACGATTAATAATAATGGTAATAATAATGATAAATAATTAATAAATCATAAACTAAGTATCTGGCCGTAGTAGTTCACGTTTACACAGTGTTAGTGCCATCATATTGTACATAAAAAGTCGGTAATTTCATTTATTTTATATATTTTTTTTTTCATGGCGTGCAGATTTCAGTTCTTCCTTTGGTCTAGTGTGAATAGAAGGCGTTTCTATTTGTTTTGCACTATTTTATATTTGACCTGAAGACGTACGGCTCCAGTGCGTCATTTTATCAAATTGATATTTACGTAATAAACAGGTTCGTAATTAAAATGCATTTCTGTTTTTAGTTGTTACAGTAATGCGTAGATGTACTGTCACAGCAACTATTTCATTTTATTGTAATGCATTTTGAAAATATAAAGGATTACTGCCACATATTTCTAGGGCGGTGCAGATAGACTAAATTATCACATTTTTTTGGCACTTCTACAGTCCTTATAATGGTGCAATGACACATGACTTTATAATTAGTACATTGTTTTCCAAAAAAGTAAATCAATTTTTTAATTTAACGTTAATGTGCCGCAATTTAAAAGAGGAAGTATATACTAGCTGCTGTAATCACTACTGTTTTTACTGCTACCACAATTTATACAGTTCCATTGCAACTGAAATGACAAGCTGGTAACTGACAACTAAGGTTAAGTTTACTGTTTATAATTGGTTTTGCTTTTAAAAAACAAAACTGAGTTTTTTTTGAATTTGTAATAAGAAACTTTTGATGAAAACTAACATTTAATATCAAGATGTTATCTTCTATGGTAAAAGAACACCAGGCCAGACAGTCTGCAAGAAAGGAAGCCCAGGGCAAGTTTTGATTGCTTAATTTGCATATATGAAATATTTATTAGTTTTTATGTCTTCAGAAATAAAACGAAAAGAGGCTGTCCAAGCAGCAAGTGAATTAACACAAGCTCTGGTTGACCACTTAAATGTTGGGTAAAGTATAATTAACGAGTGTTATCTGCATCTCTATCCTAAGATTATTTTTAGGGTTGCTCAAGCCTATTTAAACCAGAAGAAATTGGATGCAGAAGCTAAGCAGTTGCATGTCAGTGCCACAAATTTCTCTAAACAGACACAACAGTGGGTTAATTTAATAGAATCCTTCAGCAGTTCTTTGAAAGAGTTGGGTGATGTCGAAAACTGGGCAAAAACTATAGAAGGAGATGTAAGAACAATTACGCAAGCCCTAGATATTGTTTATAAAGCATCCCAAGAGGCACAAAGCCAGCAATCATAATTGAAATACATTACATCTAGCATTTGTTGGTGATAATTTTAGG